TTTTCTCCCCGATCGTTCTCTCTGTTCTCTTACCGCACTCGTGATCAAGATGGTGGACAAAGAATGAAAATAATAGAAATGTATTCTTTCGATCAACCGTTTGAGAATCGTGTGGTGATGCTGTTCCGTTTTTTTTTTTTTTGTGTGTAGCAAATCCCGTTCGGTGTGCCATAATAGCGTTGCTTGTGATTCAATCGTGTTCATAATTGTTTTTTGTCGACAGCACGATCGAAGATGTTCGTTCGGTGACAGTACATATATGTATATACGTTCGTGGAAAAATCGTGGTCCGTCAAGAAGATTGAGCTAGTCACGAGAAAAAAAAGAAAAAGAAAAAGCTTGTTATATGGTGATTAGTTTATATTCATAATCAAAGAAAATGATACTTATTCGCAATTGACGATGTGTTAAGACATTGAAGTAAGTGCATGAACGTTCAAGGTGCCGTCCGTGAATAATGAAATTTGAGATAAAAAAGAAAGAACATACGAAATAAAGAGGAAGAAAATAGAGGGCGAGTGCGTGAAAGAGAGAGGAGAGAGGATACTCCTGTTCTTTCAGAGTGATCGATCGATCCGGAGCTTGGTGTATTCATACAACAGGGTCTAATGAGACGTGCACGTAGGCACGAACGGGACGCTTCGATCCCGACGTATCCGGGGCGTTTTCGTTCTTATAGAAAGGGATTATATTTATGCAGACTATGATACTTTCGCGATATCGCCTATAAATCGTCGCGGAACATGCGAACGAACGAAATAAAATGATAAATGCAAAAGAAACAAAAAAAAAAAAAGAGATACGTCGACACAAATATACAACAGATATTTTTAACATGACGCAAGTGGTGTGCTAGTGCGAGATGTGCGATTGTAAATATAGCTACTATCGTAATGTGTAGATAATATATATATAATATATATACATATACATATACATATAAATGTATATGTATATATATGCACGATTAAAACCGGTAAACTTAAGTGGAAACTGTCGATAATGCTTTTATATATGTATACTACATGACACGCGACTCGCGAAATGAACGCGCGCATGTGTATGTACCGAACACGCGACATACACACGAAAAATATACACAATATATACGAACAACACGCGAGACACCTATACTCACTATATATAGGAAAAGATATATAGACAAATTGATCAAGCAGTACATTTTTTTCTTTTTTAAGAAAATTTGAAATATGGTAATTTTTCTTTAAGAAGAAAAAGACAAAAATATATCGAATTGAAATTGGATTAATAGATTTATACATGTGATCCACGCAAAGGAATGCAAAAAAGATACGTATCCGTAAAACACATCCGCCTGGAAGGATCGGTAAAAAAAAAAAAAATAAGTCATCACATTCGATTTTTTTGAATCGAAAAAATAAAATTGGAATTATCGATTATATTATCGTTAAAAATGAAAGGGAAAACGTGTAAATAGATTTGATAGATATGAAAACGTTTGCGTGTCATACTAAAGTTATAATAATTCGGCGTGGAATTTGTTATCGTGTATTTTATGCCTCGTGTCAATACTTCGCGTGATCTGGTAGCAATGACAACGTGATGTAACGGGACGAGCAATAGATGAGCAAAAAAAAAAAAAAATGTCATGACGAGATCAAAGTAATAATGTCCAGGTGGAATAATAATAATAATATGATAATGATAATAATAATAATAATAATAATAATACTAATAATAACAATAATATTAATGATAATGATAACGATATAAGTAATAATAATAACATAATAATGATAGTAATAATGATATGATAATATTAATACTGATAATAGTAATAACTAATAAAAGAAATAATATTAATACGATATAATATAATATACTATTGTACGGAAATACCCCGCCTATCTTTCTACTAAAAATGAAAAATTATTTTTTGAATTGTGTCGTCAAAGATGTCCTATGTAACCGTGTGTCTATGGGATCGTCCCGTGGAAATCAACCCTGCGCCTCATCGGGATATGAGAACCTCTTTAAAGAAAAAAAAAAAAAAAAAACCTCCTCTCTATCATAAGAGTATAAACTGAATTCATCGGTGTTTATCGGTATTGAGTAAAAATGAAGTAATTAAAGAGAAAAAAAAATAATAAAAAAAGACGTAAATAAAAATTTAGAAGTCAAGCTCTATGGTTTTGGTACGAGACAAAATATAAAGGGAGGAGAGGAGAGAAAAAAAGAGAGTAACAAAAAATTGACATAGAAAGTAAAGCTAAGAAATGAGAGAATGAGACGATGCGATATAATACGTACGTATAAATAAACGTAAAATAGAGAAATAGCGAGCCAACGTGCGAGCCACGTCGCTCAACCACGTTGTGTTCCAGGTAGTTGTACGGATGAATTTAAAGCAAAAAAAAAAAACATACATAATCATAATTAACAAAGTAAACGTACACTAGACGAGTTAAACGAGGGATTTTAGTAAAACGGTATTAAGACTTGTGTGCTAGGTGAACCTTAAACAATAAATGAAAAAAAAATTGATAAAAAAGCCGCTGTACATATCCGTTGTGTATAGCCAGTGTGTCGCAAACCCACGCAAGTATAGTAGATTCGCGTCCACGTTCTAAGAACAATGCATTTTTCTACGAAGTAACGGAAAGTGATGGTTAAACGACGTGCGTTTCCGAATTTATAAAACGATTCTTTTGTTTATCGCTTAACGATTATCGATCGTCGCGTCCGAAACTCAAAACATTTTCAACGAACCGTTTTCGCTCCCGTTTCGTTTTTCGAAATACGGCAACAATTCCATTTCCGTTCATCGAATTGTCTCCGTTTTTGTACGTCGATAGATCGTTATCGCGATCTTTTTTTCATTCTCGAATTCGATTGATGAGATGAAGCCCGGGGTAACACGAGGCATATCAGTCTGTGATCCACTGTTTTTCGATATTTCCTCGATACATAAACCTTATATATCGTAACTTTAACACGGGTTTTTACATTCATTCCTAGTTTTCGAAGTCCTTTAGCATTGAGCCATAAGCAACTCCGGGCTTGACTCTCACCACACATCACGATCAACATCGGTTCTCTTTTCGCGTAACAAAAATTCTTATTTTTTTTTTTTTTTTTTTTTTATCGTTTTTCATTGTACATCTTGACGATCATTTTCCTCTCGAGAATATTGTACGATATTTAAAGAGAGACACGTATTCATCAAACGACGCCTGTCTGATTTGTCCGTTAACTCGCCGTTACCTGTCATTCGCAATGTAATAGCGTTTTAGATACTCGGCATGCAATCCAAGTGGTTTGTGTAAGCTCTCGAAATCGTGAGGGAGCCGACAGATACCACGAAAGGGAAAAAGACACGTTTCTATGTGTATTCGTTTGTGCGCGAAATAATAGGGGAAAGAGAATAAGAGAAAGAAGAAACGGAAATATGATACGTTTAAAAAGGGTCCTGCGTACTCGAGTTAACTTTACGCTTAGCGCATGGTCACCTTGAGCGAAACAGCGCCGTGAGAATTATGCTTCTAGAAATTAACACGTTAATTTTTTTTAATATTATATATTATAATAATTATATTATATATATAATTAGAAAATTTGTCCTGAATCTCGAGAATCTTTTCAATTTGATTTGATTCGATTTTATCGTTGAAAATGAACCTTCCCAATTTTTACAGAGAGATCGCAAAATTCTCGCGGAAGCTCTATTCCGTGGCAAAGTGCGAAATTAATTATTGTTACGCTCGACACGAATCTTCGCCGTCGACGGGTAACCGTCCGCTGTGACTCGGTTGGAAGGCGCACCGCGATCGGCACGCGACTAAAAGAAAGCAATACTTCGTAACTATCGTGTATGTCTTTAAAAGAAAAAAAGATCTAATATGACTGATGAGAGAAAGAGAGGGAGAGATAGGAACGAGCGAGAAAGTGTGTAAGATGAAAAAAGAGAAGCGTTCGTGTGACGAAGTGAGTGCAGTGAGTGAGTGAGAAAAAATGAGCGAGAGCTATTATAGTAAATTAATATATAAACCGAGTTATGTTAAATGATAGCTGAAGGGAAATTCGTGCGCGTTTTTATATAGTTTCTTTTATTCTTCATTTACAGCGAACGAATTCTTTCTCGAAGACTTCGCGTCGCCATAATAAACGGCCGAGAGAAAATATTTGTTCGTGATCGGTGTCTCGTTGTGTTTTTCCTCTTTTTTTTTTGTTCCACGTGACACGTAGAAACAATGATCGATTTTTACGTGTCTTCTTGTACATATGCATGTATGAAACTGCACATCGTCGTTGATAGAACAATTCGATACGTTATATTTCTATATATATATATATTTTTTTTCTCTTCTTTTTTAATTTGACATTATCGATTACTGTGAAGGAATCTCGACGGTTAGCGTGTTTCCGTAAAACGGTAATCGAAATGACGATGCTTTTTCTATTGCTCATAAAAAAAATACGAAATAAAAAAATCGGCGAATCAAGCGAATCAGACATACGCGACATCGATATTGACGATTTATTTAAAATCTCCGCAAAATATCAATGTAGCGATAATTTTTTACACAAAGAGGCACATCATCCACGGAAAAAAAAAAAAAAAGAACAATCAATTTCGAACAATAGTGCTCTTTATACGTACTTTCGTATCTTTCGAGAAAACGATTGATTTAGAAACGAAGTAGAAAAAAAAAAAAAAAGAAAAGAAAGAAAAGAAGACAAAACAAAAAAGAAAAAATGAATTAAAAGCAACAATGATTCCTTCCTTCATGATTCGTAATTGGCGAGCGCGAAATATGGATAAATACAATTAAAAGAAGGAAGGTTCCATGGGACGCCTTTTTATCGAGCCGCGTTTTACGGGCGCTGATTGCAGTTCGTCCGTTTTTTTCTGTAACTTTTTCCGTTTTGTCCTTTCGTGAAGAATTGTACATATTAATTATTGCGATCATTATGTAAATATATCTCTTCGACAACACAAAAGAAAATAAGAAAACACATACACAACACGCGTAGTCTGTCCGCGCGAGGTTTATTTTAAAGACTACATCATTATATAATGATTACCATGTAATGATATTTAATTGATAAGGTAACATATATTCTATACTCTTACACGCTAAGTACTCAATAAATATATCTATAAAATTTCCCCGTGTTTGTGATTGTCTGCCCTTTAACCCATCCTTTCGATCCCATCGTATTCGTGGCGTCTGAACCCCCCATCAACAGCCAATTCTGTCAAAACCGATTGTTTCACATCCTTTGTCACCCATATTGTTTCTCTCTCTCTCTCTCTCTCTCTTTTTTTTAAATCGGGTCCGTTTATACGACACGTCCGTTAAATGTTCTTACACCCCGCCTTTCTTGTCTCACCTGTCGTACAGTTTCTTCCCATGACAATAGCGAGAGGCTTTTAGACGTAAGTGTATAAATAAATATTTATATAAATATATACATATGAATGTATATGAGGTGCTCTCGCTACAAGTCCGAAGGTCTGAAAAAGTACCTATGAATGCGTGTTGTGATAAAAGTTGTTTTTTGCTAACGAATAATGATGAGAGATTAAATTAAAGACTTTTAGTAATATCACTGACAGAGTTGTCATTGTTTATTTCTCTCTCTTTTGTACAAATCCGTAATTTTTTTTTTTATTCTTTGCGTGTCCAATAAGATTCTTATCCCTCCTTTAGACCTCGCACCTGTCACAGTACACGCGCATCCTTTGCAACAATGAAGCTAGATTATCAAAAGAACACATAAATTTTTTTTTTTTTTCTTAATTTACTCGGTTCTTTGTAACAAAATACAAAATACGTACGTACTGCACAGTTGAGGAATTATAGTATTTTTATATCAGTCTCGTCTAAGTTTCCACTCACATTCACGTTTCCATTGTCGAAACCATGCTTCACTCTGGAAAAATTAGAAAATAAAAACGAAGGAAAGATTAACAAAAATAGACAAAAAATGATATTCTGCTTGATTCAACCGTAGTTGAAGTAGCAATGAGTCGAGGAGAGATTAGGAGATGGAATCTAATGCTTAATGATTGAAAAGTAAATTCTAATTGTTAACAGTTCCTACCGATCGACTGTTTTATAATCTTTATTGATGAGAAATAAATTTTACATGAATTTGATATATTTTTGTACATTATTTATTTACGGAACAATGTTTTTTTTTTTTATATTTCGGATTTTACAATTTATATATTTTCTGAAATATTTACAATGGTCGTGCAATTGCTTGCTTATTTTACAAAAATGAATTAAAAAAAAGATTCATATAGTTCTTTATGTTTTTAAGTTATGAAAATTTGATCGTCATACGATCGAATCTTTATATTTTATTTTGTACAATATACGTACAATGTGTACATTTTTATTTTACAATGGTACAGTATTTTGTACTATTTTTTTTTTTTTTTTTTTTATAAATTTCTATATTATTCTATATAATAGCAATAGAACGCACCAACTTTTCATAAAATAAAAGTTCTTTTTTTGTTGAGCAATATGCTTTGCAAGATATAATTTGATAATCTCATAAAATTTTGTTTCAAAAATTTATTATCATAGAAATTTTGATATTTTAATACATAATTACACGATTTATTAATAAGATTTTATTAAAATTAAGAAATAAACTATTCCAATATAATATCTCTTTTGATCTATTTCACTATTTCTTTTCTTTCCACGCTATTTTAAAAGCGAAATTATTTTGTCAATAAAAATAAAGAATTTATGAAGATTTTACAAAATGAAAAAAATACAACATGTGTAAGTAAGTAATACTTATATAAATATCACAAATAATATAATTTTAATAAATATGATTTTTTCTCTTGAAATATTGCATTTAATATTTTCTAATAACCTACTTTTTTCCTCTGAACTTTTTATTTATTAAATAAAATGAAAGTTTTTCCTCGACAAGCTTATTTAATTATTTCTATTAAAGTAACTTGCTTACGAAATATTTTAATATGTTCTAATATATATAAATTTAAAATTTACGAAATAGTATTATCTCATAATTGATAAAAGATTTCATCAACGATATACAGAATACACTTAGTGTACACTTTCAGAAAAAATCATTGACAATAAATATATTATATAGAACGCAATTAAATTACGTAAGGTGGAAACTTAAACTGACTAGTTGAAATGAGGAAGTGGAATGACAAAAGAAATAGTACAATAAGCTCCTATCATTCTCATATCAGTTCAAAAATTCCTACACATATGTTACAATCAAATACTTTATTACGGATTATCCGAATTGAACTTTCAAAATAATTTCATATACATATCATATACATATCATATACATATCATATCTAATTTTTTTTTAATCATATATTTCAATTTATATAATACATATAAATTCAAATTAGAATTTTTTTTTGTATTATCAGTATTTTTTTTTTTTAGTATTTAAAATGAGAAATTATTTGTTATATTTTGTACTATATTAAATTTTAATTAATTCGGATAATCACAATTCATGTGCATTCTAAAATGGATATTTAAATTAAAATACATTATTTCATAAATGTCATACAGTCATAAAAAACGAGTCATTCAGATATAAAGTTAATTAAAGTAGAGACTATTAAACCCGTTATATATATATATATAGTAAAAAGAAATTGTGTGGAAGAATTATTATTAAGTGTTACATAAATTATGTAAGTCTCTCAACACAGAAAAAATGGCATTTTATACCTTATTATATCTTTACATCATCTATGATGGCAAACGTTCTAATCATATAAAACAAGTTATTTATAATGCTGCAATCTGAATGCAATATTAATATCGAAATAGGATTAAAATCTTAATCACAAGTTAGATTGGAATCATATACTTCTAAAATAGAATTCGTTGTTACAAATAACAAATATAATAACGGCTATGTGTAGAAAAATACAAACAGATATTTGTTTACATGAATAAATCATTAATTTTACAGAAACACAATGATGCCTTAAGTGCAATTTAATTAACCTATTGCAATGTTACTTACTCGAGGCCTAGGCCCCAATTGATACCTTGAACGAGAAACAAAATTAATGGTTGCCAAGCAACTAACCATCTGATCCAATCTAGTAGTTGACCATATAAAACATGAGGTCGTTCCCATCTTTATACATTGTTAAGGTGTATATATCAATATATATCAATAAATAAAAATTTATATAATTATAATTTCCTTTATATAAGATGAAAGATATGATTTAATGAAAGGATACGGATTGTAAAACATTTTTTTTAAATCGACTTTTTCTTTGCAATATGGACACGTTTGTTTTTTTCCTACAATGCACCATCCTCTGATACAAAATTCATGAAATACATGTTCACAACTAAGTTTGTATGTGTTTTCAATAACACCAGGTTCATTTTCTGATACCAAGAGTCTATTACCACATACTGCACATACTCCAGGCTCTAAAGTCCTTGTTGGCATATGACCTGGTACATAGTACTGCAAATTATTTAATATATTGCATTTTTTATTTTGCACATAAGATAAATAATTATTTAATTACTTTACTATACATACCCCAATATGTGAAGCCATTTTATCTGCACATATTTCTGCAACATCTCTTCCTAATACTCCAAAGTATAAACCATAAAACAATAAAAGCAAACCACAATCCATCCATATTTGTGGTTTAACTTCAAATACTAAATGTAAACCAAAAAATGTGGCTAACATTATAATGTAACTTATTATACCCAATACATAACTTAATTTATATATAAAAAGAAACCATTTATACACCAATCTATAACAATAAAAATTTAGCAAAATATTAAATTCATACATATTTTTAATTTATTAAGTTGCATAGAAAATATATTCAATAAATAAAAATAAATTGTAAAAGTACCTTGGTGTTGTACCTGCTATAGGTTTTTGAACAGCTTTTCTAACTATTAATCCTGTTATACAAGATGTTACTAACCAAAAAAATATAAACCTCCACCAATGATTTTTTAAACTTAATCCAAATGGAATAATCCACATAGCAATTAAGGTAACAAGCTAAGAAAACACATTTAATCTTTCAGATAAGCTAAAATTTAATTAATAATAATTAGTTAATAAACATTAATTGAAATTTACCTGATATGATTTATAATGTATTTTCTTCCATTCAACTAATACAATTTGTGCTACTAATAATGTTCCTAGTAAAATAAGAAGCATTTCTGCATGCATAGATTCATGTCCTTGATGTTGTTCGTGCATTTTTATATGTTGCACTCTAGAATATTAAAATATTTCTTTTGTAACTAAACTGTTATAACAATAGATATTTTTTTAAATTGATATTTACCTCCATTTTTCTTCCACAGTCATCTCATCCTCACTCTACAATAAAATACATATATTTATTTAAAAAAATATTGTAATAAATACAATTCATTTCATACAATTATTCGCAATAAATAATAATAATCATACAATAATAAATTCGAATGAGTGATAGTGATTATAAAAAAAAAAAAAGCACAATTCATTTTATTCAAGCATTTATTCAGGTGTATAAATTCATATTCTTATATTAAAATAAATAAATCCTTGGAGGTTATATTAGCGCAAGCATGGCTTACGTGTACATTATTGTTTTACATAATATCAATATATTTTTATTTTAATAATATTATACCTTATTTGGGAGTACGTGTGAATGCATATTTAATAGTATATTAAGCTATCACTTATAAAATAGATTTTAATAAATTGACATAATATAGCAAAGATTCTTTGGAGACATTGTAAAGTACTATTCACAGTGGTGCAGGTCTGATATGTTCACAATTAATAATAATAAACTTTATTTAATCTCGATAAAAATAAAATATTTATATAAAAAATTAATAAGCAATAGATTGTATTTTTATAAAATATATTATTATCAAATTATTAAATAAAGCAAAAAATCTAAAAAGTAATTTAATTTCAAAAATTAATAATATATATATATATTTTTTTTTAATTTTTCGCGCTGAAAACCATTTTCTCAGCCATATTGATGACGTTACAAATATTGAACTGACTATTGAAAAACTGTTTTTCAACTTGTGAAAATTATATTTGATAAATACAATAATATAAAAATCGCAAGAATATCGCAAAAATAAATAAATAATTCGTTAAAAATTTTTATAATAAAATAATAAATATTAATAATATTTACATTTTAAAAATATTCTTAAATATAATATGATATATCATTTTATATAGAATAGAAATTCATGTAAAGCCAAATTCGTTTAATAATATTTGATAACTTGTAAGTTATATTATTTTATATAAATTAATCATATCGTATAACAAATATTTAATTTAAATTGTACGCGCAATTCTGATTTGTCACAAATTTCTCGAACGAATGTGAATCGGCCTATCCATCTACCAATGCCCAATGTTCGTACGAGTTCGTAGTAGTTCGAATGATCTCGGAGTTAAACCACGCCCATTGCTGCTGGTCAGAGAGGGAAGCTGGTAATTCACTCTGCGAAGCAGCAATATGAGCGTTTATACCGTTTCTTGAGAAAACGCGCGACGTGACGAAATTCCACAGTCGTAAAATCGCGCGTCGAAAGTGTCATCCGATCGCGCGCCGTTTGCGGATTGAGTGAGTGATATAGTGTCGTGATTGGTTTCGTTTCGTACACCGGGATACGATTTTTGGTTAGTTTCCAAGCTTCGAAAGGATATCGCCGCTCGTCGGTTCATTTGCCTCGAGGAATTGCTTTCAGTGAGTAAGAACATAGCATATAGAAATAGCGTATGTTTCGCGAAGGTTTTTTGTGCCTGTCAAATTATTGCACATATTGCCAACAGATTGTGTGAGAATTGTCGTCAATAAACTCACATGTTACATCTTGTATAAAAGGTTACATGTAGAAGTACATTCAGATAATTTTGCGTAATCTGACAAAAACAAATTTTAATGCCAATGTAAATTTAAAAAATGTATGTAGTAAACAAACGTGTATTTAATATTTTATCAAATATTGCTATTTCGAATTATATTTTTTTTGTGTATTGTTTTTACTATTTTAAACGATAACTTTTAAGTAAATATGAATTAAATTTTAGATATTCTAAGCTTTTAAATAATATTCTGTTATAAAATACTTTGGTTGCCATTTCTTTCCGGATAAATTTTTCGTGGATAAAACATTAATCTCTGAAAGAAATTACTATTCTTTTCTCCTGTAACCTAATCATACAAGTTATCTAGTAGGGAATTCTTTTTTAGTTCATCTCCTTTAACAGGTAGTTTTAATATGTCAGAAAAGTGTTGTCAATACGTAATACTTTGGCAAAGAAACGGAGATGAATTAGGTCGATAGTTTTACTTTTGGTTTCCACCTGACTGCTAGATCAAATATCGAATTGTAAATCACATTTATCTGTTTCTACGTATCTAGAATTTTTCCCTAGAAAGCGTATATGTTATTTTGTCTATCTTATTATTCGTCATAATTTAAATGTCGATTTTAATCAGTATCTTAAAATGCCGTATTCTGATTTAATTAATATAGGTTATAATTCATACGCGACTAGTATGATATTGTACAAAAATAATAATTATTTGAAAAAAATATATAAAGATTAATTTAATAATTAGTAGTCAACTAGGAAAAAAATAATATTAATTGGGGTCACATTTAATTTAATTCATAAGTTCTTCAAAAGTGTTGAATGTAAGTTACGTTCTATTTTATACTGAATCAGTCAAAGAACTCGAAAGGAGCAAAATCCTCGTAGCTAGACTGTTTGGATGTTGTATAAATTGGCGGCTATCCAAGTTTCCGTACTCTCACCACGTTCTCAGTCTTTAGGGTTCGCGCTATCACATTCCTTGTTCAGTATACGTAATATACTGTTTTTCTGCATGATTTTGTATAAACTACTTTTACCGACTGATACATAATGTTTGAACATTACTTGTAAACAGATAATGACCTCAGTAACGGTTTTTTTTAAAATAGAATCGTAAATAAAAATAAAAATATAAATCGGAACCGGAGAGTTTAAATTCTTAAATTTTTACAAAGTAATTTTTTAATAAAATATAACAGAATTACTTATAATATTTCAATGACAATGTCATATTATAAGAGGTTCTATTATAAAAACTAAGTATCTATCGTGATAGTGATTTAAAATATAAAAAGCCAATAAAGCATAATTTCGCAATTCGGATAAAACAAAATATTCTTTAAATATTTAAAATACATTTGAATAAAGATTATTTATGAAACATTATACAAGTAAATCTTTGTTTCGTCTTATTTTTGCGTTAACATGATCACAAATATTATTTCTTCATTAATTGAATTAAATTATATAATATGATACCTTCTAAGTTGTGTTTTTGTTAAAATCATAGTTACAATGTCATTCGATTTCGAAACTATATACGATTATATTAAATAATTCTTTAAATATCGATTATATTATTATTTTATATATTATTTGAATAAATTGATAAATTATAATTAATATTCTTATGAATTTTTTTTCTTCGTAATTATTAACCGAGAAAAATTGAAAAAAACTATCATATAATTTTTCAAAATAGAATCATTTCAAATTAACTACATTAAATTCTTAATGATACGAGTTCAAACTATCCATCGATTAGAAATTTGAAAGCAATATCGTGAGCATGAAAGTGAATATCATGTGCGGGATATGTAAGTACGTCGAAACAGTCATTGCGGTTTGCTTGTGGTAATAGAATCCTGGAAATGAGTTAGAGACTCACGTAGATATATTGTTATGAATCACGGTACTATGTTTACTATATGAAAAGATACATATTAATCATTGACGGAACCATGATCATTTGATTATTCAAACAACCATATATGTATTTTGGAAATATTAATTGTCGAATCGAACTGTGATTTAATCTAAATAATTATATAATTATTTTTCAATTATTTTTTAATGTAAGTGCATTAAGAGATAAAATTTTATTAACGTAATTATTATCTTTGAAAACAATTTTTCTTTTTTAATACATGTAATAATATTCTATAATATATAATAACATATATTATTTATATTATAGTCTTTTTGATATAATTAATGCTTTTTTATTACATATTGATGTATCTTTTCCGAATTTCTTCCATCTCATTTATCATTTCTCGCGTAAATCCACCTTAGAAAGCCCACCTGTTGAAATCGATCTTTCATTCCATAGCTACATATAAACCCATAAAAAGTGAAAATCTAATATAAAGAGCTTATTGATTTCTTGCATGCTCTTTTAAACATAAATTTAATTTTATCGATCTAATTGGCTCTACTTTGATATTTTCTTTGCTTTCGATAAGCTTTCTTTTAACTTTAGATTTTTAGATATTTTTAATCTTATGTAATATATCTTCCTAAAATGCAATATAAAGATAAAGATATTATATAAAAATATACAATTAATGAAGCGATTGAAACAAATCCATACGAAAAAGTAAAAAGTTACGAAAGAAATCACAAGTCGAAGATCAGATAAAACATTATTTATGATATAAATATGCATTGTCATTTCACATCGCGAGCAAACAAGAAAGAATTATTATATTCATACATATAGATTCATTTGACATTTCTGATTTTTACCATAGATAGAATATATACATCAAATTGCGCGAAATATTATTGACATTCGAATAGCAGCCATTTTTAATCTATATTAAATTAATATTCAGACATTATTAAATGAAAATGAATATTTTATCGTACACGTATGATATTTGAAATATCGACGATTTGCAATTTAAAATTTATAAATTACAATTGACAAATATCATAACATCTAATTGTTATAAATTATTTATAAATATTTAATTTTATTTATTCGTTTATAATTTTACGTGTCATACTATACAATGCGAGTTACGCCATTAATGAAATTTAAGATATTAAAGTTCCCAATCGATCGCTGTTTCGCGTGACAATAGTTTTTTAGACACTCTGTACATGCTCGAATCACGTAACGCGTATTAACTATCCGAAAGGACGTTACGTGAGTAATGTTGAGCGCGACCGCGAATGGAACGTCTGATGGTATGCGGAGTTATTCTAGCGTTAGCGTCGCCACTAATTCCCCTAGGACCCCAGTTTTTTCGATCGATCGAAACGATTCGCCTAGGGGAGAAAGATCACGAATCACGAGCCGCGCTCTCAACAATTAAACGTACCAACAAAATCTCATTTCTCTTTCTCACAGATGCATTCTCCTTCTCATAAACGGGAGAAAGATCGTTGTCGATGTTGGAAAGTGAAAAGCAGATTCGCTGTTACGATCGAATTTTACTTTGCCAGGGCCTCGATCACACGCCGTGACGCATACAATCGCGATTACTATTGTGACGTGATTATTTAGCGACAGGAGAATTTTTCACATTTTTTTCGCGTGAGAATATCTAGATATATATATATATCCTAGTAATATATCCTAGGAATTTTAGTATTTTTTCTTTAGAGAATTTATATACTGTTATATATATATATATTATTATATTCACTTATTTTATTTTGGTTAGTTAATCTTAGTTAAATGTGCAAGATTTATTATCAAGTATGATAAAATATTTTTAAATTGTTAATTTTGATCTTCGTTCTTAATATAAAATAGTAATATTCGATATCAAATATTTACGAGGCAAATTCATTCGTGACACTAGCATATTGTACAAAAGCATGCAATAAAGAAATAATTCAAAGAATGCGGAACATTTGTGCGATTAGCACCTATGAAGTCATTAAATGCCAACCA